CGCAGCCAAGTGGCACAAACAGGGTCAAGCATTGCGGATGCAGGCCTGGGTCGGGGACTCAAGTAGCAGAAGGAGGCAGAAGTAATCGGAGCTGTGACTGTTGGATTGTGTGAAAAGACTTCGACTCATCGTCCTGCGACCACGAGTCGTTCATGCTCAGCTTTCGTCAATCATACGAAGAGAAGTTGGATTTCGAGGCATCTCTTGTTTCATAATTGTTGAGCTTCCTTCCATTTCGAGTGAAAGTGTTGTGTGAAGAGATTCGAAAGTCGGTTCCACCAGAAGACGACGACGGATTCCTCTTGGTCAACTGTCGATTGGCTTTATTGAGCACATTTCCTGCGGAAGCTGTTTCCGAGGCAATCTACTTCGATTCTGCTGAAAAGGTGCTAAGCTTTCGTCCGTCATGTGACGAACATCATCAGAGCATCGAGGGTGTCATCTTCACAATCGAATTCTAACTAACAAGTCACCGGAATCGAGTGAGATTGCCTCGGAAACCGCGTCAACATGAATGTTCCAGAAAAGCCAATCGACAGCTGTTCAAGAGGAATCCGCCGTCGTCTTCTGGTGGAACCGACCTTCGAATCTCTTCACACAACACTTTCACTTGGCCATATTTCCCTATGCGCGGGTTCTTCACACGCCAAGATTATTGGGATGATTTCCATTTCTAGTTGTCTTTTTGATTCTTCCGATAGCTCCTCTGCGTTATTTTCAACCTCCACCCAAATTTCCTTGATTGTCTTGCTTTTTTCCTAACTGAGCACATTTTCGAAGCTACCAGTAAATCAGATGTATGAGTTTTATTCACCTATTTCGTGTGATGTGATGAAGGACAGTTAGTTGATTTTTCCCACAACGATATGAGTAGAGCTGACGTTGGAATTGAATTTCCCATCCAGTCTGAAGTGGACTGCCGTTTCGACCTAGCCTAGATCCTATCAACACCCCAAGCGGGAGTCAAACCATGCAACGTATCACTGAAATGTGCTTGAGTGTCTTGCTTTCATTCAGACCCTGTTTAAGGATCTCTGTGCTTTCGAGGTCAAGAGGGTCGCAAGACCGATTCACCAGTTTACATTCATCGAATTTCTTCACGGCACACTTGCACTCGAAATGGAAATAAGCTCAACAATTCGTCAAAGTCGGATGGCATCATTTACGAACAATCTTTACGACGTGGCGTGCGAAAGCGCAGCTCGGAGCAGTCGAGGTGGTAGGTTCATGAGGCGAGGTCTATTCCTGCCACTCCTGCCAGCAGTCATGCTCCGGTACATTCTCCTTCGGCAACCGGTGAGACTGAATCGCGAATGGCTTGGACCGGTTTTTGCGAAGAAAGCTCTCCTCGACGAAAGTGGCGCGTTCGGCTCGGAATGCGACGATTCAAACAACAAGTGGCCGCCATCGAAAATTGAGCCTTTTCAACGAGTCCGCGGCGGCGGCGGCGGCGGCGGCGGCGGATTCGAGTCGGCATAAAACGCCGCTCTCGGCATCGCAGTCCGCGAACGGATGCCTCGAGAGGGTGTCTTTGAAGGGGCGAATCGATGAGCAGCGGGTCTGTGCTGCGAGTCTGAGCGGGTCGAGTGCCAGTCGAGGAGTGGCTACGGCATCTGCGAGACGCCACGAGCCATTCGCCAAACACCGGCCCGTCCATCCGAACGAGCAAGAAAAGGAGGAGGAGATGTGGAGCAAACCGACGTTCTACTCGCCGCAGGCGGGACACGTTTTGTCGCCGATGCAGACATTCACTCCGCCCAGGCTCCTGCGCAAGGCGGTGTCGCGCATGAAGCAGAAGGCCTCCGAGATGGTACGACAGGTAGGCATGTGACAGCGCAGGACCCTCTTTTGCCCGCTGCCCGCGGCTTCGGCTCGACTGGCGCTGTTGCCACGTGGCGACACTACCCGACCTTTTTCTCATTCGGACACGACTCGACTGTGGCCTCATCCTCTCACCAAATAATCTCGGCACCGCTTCAGTCCGGGTCGACCTGCTACGCCACCGACACGTCACAATGCAGCACAGGCTGGATAAAATGCCTGAACAGGATCTACCCGTAGCTTTGGAGCCTACTTACTCTGAATACAAGTAGTGTGATCGATTGTATTGGCACAAATTATGTCCGATGTGAGAAGCAATAGCTACGAAGAAAAGTTGGGTTTCGAGGAATATCTTGTTTTTCATAATTGTTGAGCTTACTTCCATTTCGAGTGCAAGTGTTGAAGGGTGAAGAGATTCGAAGGTCGCTTCCACCAGAAGACCAGCTGTCGATTGGCTTTACTGGAAGATTCGTTCTGACGCTGTTTCCG